CTAGTACAGTACAGATAGAAGTACACTGCCACATGAATGTACAGGTAGTGTGCTGACCAATTCCGACTGCATTATTAATATGGAGCTACGAGAGAAGGATGTACGTGTATTGACAACGATTCTCCATGTTGTGCCATGAGCACCACTGTTGTGCACGGTTTTGGTGTTTATGTGCAAGTTTAGAGCGACTTGGGAAAGAAATTTGTAAAAAAAAGCTGTGAAATTTAAAATCCTGTCAGATTTGAAGAATCTTGTCAGGCAGCAATGTAAACTTGACATCAGTTTGAAATGGTCTTATTCCCTCTATCTATTCCTATACAGTACATGTACATTGCTGAAATGTGGTGGCTATAAAACTTTACAGCAGCCATAATGTGACTTTTGAATTCTGTAGAACATTAATAATAGTAATACATGTAACAACTGTTGCTGACATGGCTTTTTACATATTAAAGATCAATCCCATTGCTTGGACGTAAAATGTTTATTTAGCAGAGCATTGGTCACGTTTATGCATAAAAATCATCATTTGGGGAGTTCAATTCCACGGAAAGAGTGCTAAGAGTAAACAAATGCGTTGATGAGGGCAACAAACAAATCTCGTAATCTCGTAATACGGCTCTCGTCCCCCAGAATTTCTTGACCTTGCAGCTGTAATAGGGGTTTTACAGCACAAGAACAGAGAAAAAGGGAATGACTTTATTTTTTTCACCAGAACGTGTTTATCCTATAAATCTTAAACAAACCGGTAGCAACAACTACATGTATGACATTCATCTTATTACTTAAATTTGTGTTTTGCCGAAGGAATAATAAATATGTGGGTATCGCAAATTTCATTTTTTTGGTGGACTCTTTCTTTTATTGATGTCTGAAACAATTGTTAAAATCGTCTTCTTTCTGTGTTCTAAATCTCTGAGAGTTATAACCATCTCATTAGACCTGAACTACATGTACATGTACCAGTATTTCGTTCAAAATTTATATTACAAATTCTGAATAACCATTGAAAATTCTTCAAATTGATTAGAAAGCAAAAAAATTACGATAATAATGCCAATGTAGTTATTCGCTAATTGCCGCAGGCGTGGAGGGTAAAAGTATGATCGATGGTTATGATTTGTTTTAACTCTCCCGTCACAGCCCAGAGGCTGAATTGTGGGCCAGTTTACATTCACAAAAAATTACCAACTGCTAAAAAAAAAATCTTAAAGAAAGAATTTACTCAGAAAAAAACGCTAGTTAGAAAAATCCTAAAATTTTTAAACAAAACTAAGTTCTTTAACATGTCACTATTACAATTATAAACAATTAAAATAGGACACAAAATCTACAACAAGAAAATTACAAGTAGTTCTCATTCA